CAGGAGAACCAGCAACAAAAGGAAATTTGGGTGATTATGTGTCCAACAACCCCCCAAAAGTCTCACCTCCAACCTTTGCTCTTGAGAATGTTGCCTAGGGTCCTTTCAGCCCTGGAAGAAAGACATGCAAAGGCACTGACCCCAAAAGGTACATTGTTTTTTTCCCCTCTTCCTCCTCACTTTTGCTCCTTGTAAAACAGAGCTAAATTGGGTTCTCAGCTTCATTTTGGAGTAAATAAGAGAAGCTTCTGGAGCTAGGGTGTAGTCATATAGTTATCATTCACTCATTTTTTTGTCAGTACTGGGAGTTGAACCCACAGCCTTCACACTGAGCCGTATCCCTGTCCTTTTCTAAATTAAAAAAAAATTTTTTTTCCTTGTATTGGGAATCAAACTTGGGACCTTGCGCTTGTGAGGTAGGCGGTGGAACCACTAAGCTAAATCCCTGGCCCTAAATTTTTAATTTAAAAAAAACTTTTATTTATATTTTTGGTATTAGGGATTGAACTCAGGATTTTGCACTTGCAAGACAGGCATGGTGGCACTGAGCTAAATTCCTGGCCCTTAAATTCTTTATTTTGAGACAGGATCTCACTAAGTTGCCCCGATTTGGGTTGAACTTTTGATCCTCTTGCCTCAGACTCCCAGAGTGCTAGGATTATAGGAATCTACCACCGCTCCTAGCTTCATTCATTCATTCAACAAATACTTGCTGTGCATCAACTTTGTACCAAGACCTATAGGTACTAAAGGGACAGAATAGGATGGCCACAGAAGGACAGACTAGTGAAGACTGGGAAGACTGTCTTGTCTGGTTGTCATCCTCCCTTCTCTAAGCCTCAGCAAAATCCCACCCATCCTTCTAAACTCATCTTGGATTCTAACCCACCCATAAAATGTTCTGATTGCCACAGTTAGTCCTTATCAACTTTCATAAAATTGGTCCCTCAATTCTTGAGCATCTTATTTGTAATTATGAGCTAACTTGAGACAAGTCTTAAATTGTTATGAAGGTCTAGGACCGAGAGGTTTCCTATCATTTAATCTTGTGTATCTCCTGTCTGTTTGTTTAACCACTTAAAAGTATACCACCCCACCACCCCCACCACCACCCTGGCATTGGGGATTGAATTTAGGACTTTGTATATGCTAGGCAAATACTTTACTATTGAGCTACATACCCAGCCATTTTATTTTATTTTATTTTCCCTAAATACCAGGCTGGCCTTGAACATGGAATGCTCTTGCCTCAACCTCCCAAGTAGCTGGGATTGCAGGCATGTGGCACTTCACCTGTACAGAATGCACTTTTTGAGAGCATGTTGATTCCATACTATAAGGAGTGTCTGCTCTGTACTAGGTTCTGTGGAGGTACTTGGAGATCAAGTCAAATTCTGTGAAGGGATAAGTCCTGAATAAAGCAGCAAATATGGGTATATAACTCAGTATGTAATTGTGTGTCAGCAGGCAATATAAAGTGCTATGGAAGTTTATGGGGCATGGTGACCAACATTGAGAAGTTAGGCAAAGGCTTCTTTTTTTTTTTTTTGGTACTGGGGATTGAACTCAGGTCTTTGCGCTTGCAAGGCAGGCCAGTAGGCAAAGGCTTCTTGAAGGAGCTGATATTGGGACCAAGTCTTGAAGATAAGCAGAAGTGTTTGCCAGATGGAGAAGAGGTGGGGTTGGTTATCCTAGGTTTTGGCTACTCCTGCAGCCAAATTTGTATGGTATATTTGAAAGTCCAGCTATGCAATCTGAAAATAGTTGTAAATAACTGTTGCCCAAGTTATATTTTTGGTTTTATTTAATGTGACTATATAGTATGCCTGTTGACCCCTAAACCAGAGAGGAACTGATGGGATTACAACTCCCATAATACTTCAGGGACCCATAAATTGAAAGGTTGGACCTTAAGTGTTCCAAGAATTCCAGGGATTCTTTAGAGGGAAACAAGAATCTCTGATGTTCACTCAGCCCTCCAAATGTAACAGCTTTCACCCCAGTCCTTACTTTCCTGCTGCATACACTTCGGCGGTGTCAAACAGGTTTATACCATGCTCATAGGCTACTGTCAGCACATCCTCTGCTGTCTAGGGAGGGGAGAGAAAGAGTTGAACATCAACCACAGCCCCTCAGTTGCCTCCCTCACTGCACTCTAACCCATGGGACCTCAGCCCTGATCTCCACATTCTTTCCCTTTCTTCCATCCTCCAACTTCAGATCTTTTGTTCCCCATGGCTGTTGTTCAAACTCCTTTCCAGGTCCATATTTCTTTTCTTTTCCTCTTGGTACCAGGGACAGAATTCAGGACCTTGCACTTTTGAGGCAGTCACCACACGGCACCACTACGCTAAATCCCCAGACCCCATTTTCATTTTTCTGATTCCTGCCCCACCCCACCCCTACTTCTAAGACCCATCATTTATACCTCATCTGAGATCTGAGAGCCAAATGTCACCCAGGTACCTGCAAGAGAAAAGCCAGGTACATGAGAACTGTGGGATGCATCCTGTGAAAGAATGCCCCCTTCCCTTAATTCCTAGTCTGACTCACCTAGGCCAAGACAGGACACCCGAAGACCAGACTTCCCTAGGTTCCTGCAGGATACAGAAGCAGCAGAAAAGGTTGGCACCTACATTAGGGCTTTCCAGCCCTAGCTCCTTTCCTTCCAGACTGAGAAGCCACCAGGGTGCTCAGTCCAAAGAAACTAGACTTGGTGAGCCTACAGAATTGGGTGGTACTATCTCTGTAACAGAGGCCCTAGAAACAGTGCTGAAAGAACAGGTGAACAAATAAGCAACCGTTCCTGTGGAGCCACTGTTCAATGCCTCTCCTCCTATGACATTGAAGATGTACTGTCTGGTTTGTCTTTCTGCTCATTGAGGTCTTGTCTTGTGCTTGAATCACCTCTGGGATATGTAGTATAGGGGGCTTTCAGGAGTGTGGTTGGCTGTGATGAGTGTGAGAAGAAACCCTTCATCAGAGAGTGTGAGTGGAAGAGTAAACCAAGTCAAGTTCAGGCACTCAAGACAGTCAAGGGTTGCTGGCTGGATGAGCCTCCAGCAAAGAAGAGCTGGAGGAAAGTGTGAAAGAAAAGTCTTGCCCTCTCCACTGCCTCTTGTTGGCTTATGAAGACTGTTTTGAATGAGGGAGCCCCCTCCTCCTCCTCCCAAGGGCCCCTTACCCAAGTAGTCAGCTCAGTTTCCTAATCAGGGCTGCCACATAGAGATCAGATTCTTCACTTGAAAAAGTCATGTCAGACTAGTAACCTTGGCTTACCTCCAAGTAGGAGCCCCTCCTTTTACCCCCAACTGAGAGTTCTGGGAGCCCCTGGCCCACAGTTCTCTGAGATAAAGACAAATTTCCACCTTCCTCCCCACCCAGTCCCTGTCCCTCTGCATGAGGATGAAAGATGTAGTCCATCCCACCTTCTTCCTGCTCCCACCCTGGAACGGTCGCAGGAGACGGGGGGGGGGGGCTCAAGTCAGGTAGGGGCAGTATCTGGGTCAGGCGCCCTAGCAGATCTTAGTGAGAAGCTGTTTGCCTCACTCCTCAGCCCAGGACGCCGACCCAAGGACACTCCATTGGGACGCAGACTGGAATTTCCGCGCTTCCCCCGCCTTCCTAGCAATGAGAGGGAAGCTCAAGAGGCATCCCCTGGGTCTGACAGGACTTGGTCAACCTTGGTAAACTTGATCCTATCATAGTTGGGGTAATTGACAAGATCAAGAAAGGGACCAAGTTGGGAAGTACCAGTGACGAGAAGAGGTGGAATGAACGGGGACCTTTTTAGCGAAGTTTGAAGGGGTCTTGGCGACCATCCCGGGACGCCTCAGGGGTCCCGAAAGAGGAGCGGATAGGCGGGCCGCCCGGCCAACCCATACCTGTATTTCATTCCAGTGCTTCGGCCCGTGCTCTCTCGGAGGGCCCCAGCAGGCGCCGGGGGTCGGGGGACCAACGCTCGGGCCTTGGGGCCCGACCCTCCACC